TGGAGTCGAAGTGACTCCCTCCGTAACCTCAGTGGAGGCATCTGAACAATTTTGGTGTATTTGTGAACCCTGTCTAATCTCACCTGTTTCATCATCAGTAATACTATCCCTGTCTTGTGGTGCCATTGCTGGCTGCCTTAACTCACAGGGTAGACCATCATTTGCTTGACTGTAGAAAGTGACCAGATGTTCAAGCTTATTGAAATCCTGAGGTTGCACACCGGGGAAGGCCTTGAAATAAAATTAACAGATGCCTCTTTACTGACGATTAAGGCTAATCATTGGTGACACCATTGAATATGTATATTTTGGTTTTACAGTGAAATTCGTTGTATCGTGCAGTGTGTTTTGCAAACTTTGAAGAAATTTTGGCTTTTTCTGTTCCGTCAATCATCTTAGCGGACCTCTTAGGACATACATGTTTACTGGCATGAGTTCAAAAGGTCACGGTTTGTGATTTGTGATTGGTGGATTTCGATCCGTTTTGTTTGTTTCAGGTTTTAAGGTTCGTTGCTTTGTGATCGTCCTGTTTTGGGGCAATAATCGACTAGTTGAGCTTGCTTTGCAGGTTTTTCTGATCTTTCTTATTCCCGTCACTTGCAAGAATAAAGCAACATCTGCCTCCTTCCTTTGACAAAAAATCCACTCACCATCACAATTTCCTTCGCTATTCTTGAGCAGTCTAGGGTCATTCTCAGCCAAGCTGGGCGAACATGTTACATTGTGATTTGCATTAACCCCGCCTTCACTAAAATGGTTGACGGATCAGAAAAACCCAAAATCCCTTCGAAGTTTGCAATACACACAGTGTGATACAATGAATTGAGCTGTAACTAGCATACCCGTTTGAGTTTCAATATTGGTGTTTGACTTATATACTGTATTTTCTCCATTTAATAATGCCCCTGGCAGAAGTTTTGCATTGTACTATTTATTTATTTGGTTTTACCAAAATTTTTTTGTTTTGTCTTTATGAAGTATTCCTTTAGCCACTAGAAGATGTGAAAAGGTGAGGGGCTGATTACAAGGTTGTCCTCTAAGAAAAATTGAAGGGAGCCCAGTGTTCTGAACTTACGTGAAATTATCCAGGGCACCCAGCATTATGATTTGTATGAAAAAAACTAAGATTTTCTCGTTGTCCGGGATCAAAAGTTAGGTACCACAGGCCTGGTTGCTGCTAGACTACAAGCCCTGGATTATGATTATGGGCCAGGTAAATATCTAAATAATACGTGAATTGAGCCAGCTGAGACCTGCCATGTTTAGAGAGATTGAAAGCAGTATACATGTGCAGGGTGTTACTTGGTTTGTTGGGTTTGCAGGGCTGGCCCATCAAGCATGATTGCACAGAAAATTTCTTACTTGATCATTGCGTAACCATGAAGTCGATAAATTTCCTACTTGATCATTGTGTAACCATGAAGTCGATAAATTTCCTACTTGATCATTGTGTAATCATGAAGTCGATTTTCATTGTGTTTAATGGCCGTAATGCATGATAACCGGTATGTCAGATGAGCAAATTTCACCACCAAGTCTCAACCCTTTGTGTATGCTGGCTACTTTTTTCAATTCTTTTCCATTGAGAATTCATTTATGTAAAACTTTGTTACTTTATATACCTGCCAACTTTTTCTGAGATATAAGCATGAGATTTTTATCCTGGGAGTGCTGGGATTTTTGAAGATGACACGATCATTTCCGAAGATTCCCGAAGAAGTCCGAAGTCTTCTGAAGACATAAAAGTCGAAGTTATCGAGAAAACGCTTATCCACAAAATCAGAGATCGCGAGGAAGGTATTGTCATTTATTCATTTTACACATGGTTTTCGTTCCTTACATGGGTCTGAGTTAACATATTTTTGGAAATTGTGTCAAGCAAGACGGCAACAACTCACATTTTTCAATCAGGTGTGAGAAATTGGCCCGCAAGCGTGAGCCGGCGTGAGATCGAAGTTTTCAGCCCGCAGGCGTGAGAGTTGGCAGGTATAACTTTATTGCAATTTCAAGATGAAGCTTGATGTTGGTGAAATTTGCTTGTCTGATGTAAATATGCATAACAGCTATTGACATGCTGTGACATCACAGAACTGGTCTAGCCTGAGCCAGCTTATGTAAACAGGCTCTTTCAAGTGAAATAAACTGTTTACATTCAGCATTTTCTGCTAATGAAGTCAGAGATGTTGCAACTGACCTGCATGTAGAAAGCTCCATTGTCTCCCCTTCGTAAGATTCTGAAATGGTGGATTCTCCCCTCGTGTCTACAAAATGGTATTATTTAAAGTGCTTAAGTGTGCATTTAACTGGAGGAGTTCAGATCAAGAATGAAACCAACCCAATCCAAAATTTCTTTAAAAATGTTAAAATAAGCAAAACAGAGCTCTAATTTATTTTCAAACTGTGTTCCTAAAAGGAAGAAACATTTGATTGAAACTGAAACATAAAAAATACAATTAACTTATGAGATTCCTAAAATGTAAACCTGTAAAATGATATGACAAATTTTAAGGTTTCCTGTTAAATACCAAACACTTCTCTTTTCAACTGCCTAGAAGCGGATTTCGTTAATATTTACTTGATACAGCAGCTTAATTATGCTTAACTACAGTCTAAAATTAATAGGTCACGTTAATATCCGCAACATTAATATTCAACCACACGCACTTTTTTTATCAGAAGTTTAATAGACCGAGACATGAATGGACCGACCTTGCCTTATTGAAATCGGAACTTCTACATACGCAGTGACGCAGTGCAATATTCAAATATACTTACAATAAAGAGAGGGTGTGTGCATTGGAAACACTTTCGCTGTCTCTGATAATAAAGGCACCATTTTTGCCGGAGCTTAGAAGCAACTCCTCAGCTCGCAGCCTGCTGATATTAGGAAGATGCCACGGAAATGACATGAAAAAGCCAGCTATGTCACTTCCTCTTTGATATTGTTCACCTTACAAACGGCATCGTGATATTGAGTAACGAAAGTAAAACTAAACAAATGCACCCTCAAGAATTCACTTCCTTGTGGAAAGTCTCAGATTTATGATCATTCCCAGGGTTCATATCGCAGCTTCATGAAGGAAAATTCATATATGCATAAGCAACGTAGAATCCAACGCGTCAGAAAGCCGCTGATCTATGGCGTACATTTGCGGACAAAAATAATTGAAAATGAAATATAATTTGAAGTTCAAAAATTAGACTATCCATGTCGAAATCTCGTCATATGAATTTGAAATCGCAATGAACGCAGTCGAAATAGCATCATTCGAACTTGAAGTTACTTTGAACAAGTTGAAACTATAAACGGAAAACTCGACATCGCGGATGTTGAAGTTCAAATCACCATTCCAACTAAAATGCAAATTACATGATTTGAACTTCAATTCACCTTCTCCACTCCAATAAGCTTCTTATCGTCAACAATGCAACCCTAATCTTCCACAAAATTCCAAATGAAATCTTTAATTTGAACTTAACGTCACGTCACATATTCGAATTCGAAAAACCAAAATTTCAATTCGAAGGGAAGCGGAAGTAAAAATACACAGGAACCGGAAATGATAAGAGTTTCGCTACACTGTATGTATGGGATGTTTGCATAACTGCATTTTGGCCCGAAAAGATTTCCCTTCACTCAAACTCTCTGGTCAATATGGCGGACAATGTGAATGATAAGGGTGACTCTAGGACAATCCAAGAGATTGTGAAGGCTGTCGTGGCAAACTTAAGAGTGGTTTTCTGTAAAATTCGAACTTCGGCCTGACACGTTACCGGGTCGATTTGGCTGATTTTTGGCATGTAGTCTTAGAATGGTTTCCTAAATACTTAATGCATATTCTAAGGTTTGAATTCTCTTTGGTTTCAAAGATACAGGAACGACAGTTTTAACGAGGCCTCGAGGGGGCGCCATGTTGGTGAACTGAAGGAGGTTTACTATAATTAATTCGAGGTTCATCATTAAAATAACGTAATCGTGACTCATACAGTTGCAAAGAATTATCCTTCCTCCTTTCATTTACCTTTTTTCTATCCGAAAATAGTTTAGCCTGAGCTACGAACGGCTATACTGTAACTTCTCACAGCACTTTTTCGGTACTTAAAAGGTACACAAATTTTGTAGAAATTGGAAGGCCAATATCACCCATGCCACATCGATTTAGAGTAAGCCGTTTTCACTAAACATAGTTTGTTTATAGATAAGTTAGATTGTTGAATAAAATAATTGGGCAAATGTAATGGAGCAGAACTACAGTTGCATGATTTGAACAGATAAAGCTAGAATTAACCATAGTAAACCTCCTTCAGTTCACCAACATGGCGGCCCCTCGAGGCCTCGTCAAACCTGTCATTCCTGTATCTTTGAAACCAAAGAGAATTCAAACCTTAGAATATGCATTAAGTATTTAGGAAACCACTCTAAGACTACATGCCAAAAATCAGCCAAATCGACCAGGTAACGTGTCAGGCCGAAGTTCGAATTTTACAGAAAACCACTCTTATTGCCACGACAGCCTTCACAATCTCTTGGATTGTCCTAGAGTCACCCTTATCATTCACATTGTCCGCCATATTGACCAGAGAGTTTGAGTGAAGGGAAATCTTTTCGGGCCAAAATGCAGTTATGCAAACATCCCATACGTACAGTGTAGCGAAACTCTTATCATTTCCGGTTCCTGTGTATTTTTACTTCCGCTTCCCTTCGAATTGAAATTTTGGTTTTTCGAATTCGAATATGTGACGTGACGTTAAGTTCAAATTAAAGATTTCATTTGGAATTTTGTGGAAGATTATGGTTGCATTGTTGACGATAAGAAGCTTATTGGAGTGGAGAAGGTGAATTGAAGTTCAAATCATGTAATTTGCATTTTAGTTGGAATGGTGATTTGAACTTCAACATCCGCGATGTCGAGTTTTCCGTTTATAGTTTCAACTTGTTCAAAGTAACTTCAAGTTCGAATGATGCTATTTCGACTGCGTTCGTTGCGATTTCAAATTCATATGACGAGATTTCGACATGGATAGTCTAATTTTTGAACTTCAAATTATATTTCATTTTCAATTATTTTTGTCCGCAAATGTACGCCATACTGATCAAAGTGAATATCGCTGTTGTCATTTTGGCCGAAGTTTTGTATTTCATCTAGAAAGGTGGCGAGAAAGGAATAATTTTCGCCTCGAATTACAGTATCAGTGGCGAAAGGAAACTCATAAATAGGGAAGCGAAAATAAAACAGGTATTTCACTTTCGGTGTGCGTAGTCATAGCGGACATTTGTTTCGCTTTCATGCAGTTTGCGCGTCCTTCGCTTTCTAATCTTTTCATCGTCATTTTTTTTATAGGGTTCTTACATGGATGGATGATTGCCCTGAACAAGAAGGCCCTGGGGTAACCCGTACAAAAAGGTAAGCTTCGTTGTATTATGTTAGCCTTGCACTTAACATCACAATGTTTGGAGGTTGAAGTTACTTTGTGATTCATTGCAATGAAGACGAGTCAACAGATGTGTTTGTTAGACAAGGCTTTGAGCCCGCAATGGATTCACGCAGGACTTGCTACCATTTCACTTTGCATTTCGATCACTGGAGATATTTACATCCTGTATAGCGCCATTGTGCATGTAATAAGGTGAGTTACTGAAGGACCATTTCGGCGAGTTTTAAAGAGAAAAGGTAAATTTATGGTGCCGAGTACTGCTTACGCTTATGTTTACCACCTCATACACAACAAAGAGAGCCTACAATGGAGGTCAAAAGTGTTGGGACCTTTCCAGTGATATTACTAAAACTAGCGACCCCTCCCCTCCCACCCCAAACAAAGTTGAATTTTGAGCAAAATGGGTGAGAATGAGTGCTTTTTTGGCCACAACATTGCTAGGGGGAGTGGGGGAACGACGGGATGAACCCAAAGCCGAACAAAAAAATTGTCCTTAGGAGCAGGGCTCTACGTAACAATTGCTTGGAACGGCTTTTTCACACAGTCCCAAGTTCTTTTGTCCTCCATTGTCTGAAATTGATTTACAGCGATAAAATGAATTTTTTGTCATCTTTCACTACAAAAATATAGGAAAACGTTTCCAGTACAACTGTTAAAGTGTAGCTTTTTAGTAAAATGCTTTCTATACGCTGCAGCTGATCCGTCTGTCACGCCAAAGAGTTACGGATACCTTGCCAAACGGGGGTATTCGCCGTGGACATTCAGTTTACCCAAAAGGAACTAAGTGATTATTTGAACGACGTGTTTTGGATTGAGCTCTTAAAGGCATTTAATGCTGGTAGTACCTATATTTACTATCTGAGAAGATGTACTTGGAAGACACAAAAGGCATTTCTTAGCCAAGCCAGAATACGACCTTTTTTATACTCTACAAACTACACCTGTAACATTCTGTAAGGCCCGGCCCAGATATACCTAGCGTGCGCCCTGTAGGTTCTGCGTCAACGTGTGAACGCGGAGACATGAACAAATTTCAGAAGATTGTCTTACACTTGGGCGATCAAACAGCCAAATTAAACGGTGAGCATAATTCCCTGTGACTTCTGCTTCCCTAACATTATTCTGTTCACTGCTCCCAACATATCTGCCCTGATATTGCCGGAAATTACTATGCGTGACCTATTCTATACTTTACGTTACTCCACAGTTCTCACAGTTCTCACCCTACAGTTCTCACCTGTAAAAAGTCTATTTTCCTGCGTTTGAAACAGTGATAAGCAAATTATGTGCTTTCACATATTGTATCTCATCTAGTCTGAGAGAAAAACGTGCTGGTACTGGAAAGTCTTAAGCATAATAGGCTACTTTTAACAGTTCTCGCCCCTAACTAAATAATAGACAAAATTTCAAACATTATTTTTATACTATAACAGGGCGAGAACTGTCGTAAATCACTCAACGCTTCTGTTTTATGCAGGAAATAGCAATAATTCATCGCAAACAAACATTTTATCACTGTTTCGATACAGTTTGATGATAAATCAGATTTCCAACAACATATATATTCACATAAATAGCCGAGAACTGAATGCGAGACATGTTAACAGGCACTCAACTACTCAGTGTAACGCAACCTCGAGATTCCATTATACTGTCTTCTTTGGCATCAACGTTCAAGATACTATAAAATATCTACCATTTGGCATGTCTGGAACTGTAGCCCAAAGTGTTACTGACGCTACATTGCTTTTTACAAGGACAAAGAAGAAACTTTGCAAACATATAACAGAAAAGTGCTCTATTAATGATGTTACGGCTAATGTCGTGATTATTTCCAGCACTGTTAGAGCAAAAGAATAGCTGTTCTGGTCTGAAAAAATATATCATACCGTCGTCAAAAGATCAATTCCAGCATTAAGGTACTCATTGTGCAACAGCTCACAAAGCAACGTCTAGTTTTGTAAACAAAGTGGTTTTCAGACAATGGAGGTCAAAAGTGTTGGGACCTTTCCAGTGATATTACTAAAACTAGCGACCCCTCCTCCCACCCCAAACAAAGTTGAATTTTGAGCAAAATGGGTGAGAATGAGTGCTTTTTTGGCCACAACATTGCTAGGGGGAGTGGGGAACGACGGGATGAACCCAAAGCCGAACAAAAAAAATTGTCCTTAGGAGCAGGGCTCTACGTAACAATTGCTTGGAAGGGCTTTTTCACACAGTCCCAAGTTCTTTTGTCCTCCATTGTCTGAAATTGATTTACAGCGATAAAATGAATTTTTGTCATCTTTCACTACAAAAATATAGGAAAACGTTTCCAGTACAACTGTTAAAGTGTAGCTTTTTAGTAAAATGCTTTCTATACGCTGCAGCTGATCCGTCTGTCACGCCAAAGAGTTACGGATACCTTGCCAAACGGGGGTATTCGCCGTGGACATTCAGTTTACCCAAAAGGAACTAAGTGATTATTTGAACGACGTGTTTTGGATTGAGCTCTTAAAGGCATTTAATGCTGGTAGTACCTATATTTACTATCTGAGAAGATGTACTTGGAAGACACAAAAGGCATTTCTTAGCCAAGCCAGAATACGACCTTTTTTATACTCTACAAACTACACCTGTAACATTCTG